TCAGCACACCTGCGATGAAACGACTTGAACGAATGAGCATCTTCTGGTCGCATATCTGCTGAAAAATAGATGATGCCGATATACATGTATTACGATATCAATATGATCAAAGGTAACACCATCTTGGCTGCAGCTTATCGCGTTTTTGTGCAGTCCAGTACAGAATGGTACAGTCACTGGTACTCGACATGAATAGCATACCACCACACTACGTATCGCCGTATCGCACTCCCAATCTTGCAGTTACCAAGCCTAAAGGGATTGCGCCACGTGCTGTGCCTCTCCTCCGCATGAGAGATTTTTGCCCTTCTCTTTCTCAGCTTTGGCGGTCCCCGGACATTGGGATTAGCAACTGGGCAAATAATGAGGATAGTGCGCAGCGTAATGAAATCCTACTCTGCCTTCCCTTTCTCCTGCAGCATGCATGTGCTGACACGGAAGGATTCGTGACCCGCAGGACCGAGCAAGCCACAATATAAGATTTGATAGAAACATTACTCACTCTGGAAATCAAACCATTCAGAAGATTGGAAAGATTATCCCTTTACGAAAGTACGGAGGGTAGGCGTTGTAGCAGAAGTACTACTGGCTGGGGATAAGATACCGGAAACTAGTTTGACAGAAAAAGAAATTCAACCAGAAACCAACTCAAACAACAAAAAGTCATTCCGTTGACCGTGTTTGGAAACTGCTAATGCAGCGAGTTTTGACTGCAGTGTTCCTCTTCCTGCATCCAATCTCTCCAAGTCTTCCGAATTGTTGGTAATCATCATCAAACGAGGAGAAAGCTATCTACAAATCACAATCTCGAATTCGTATCGCATTTCCCTTTCGCATCCTTTACCGCTTTAGGTATGTGCTTGTAGAGTATCTTCCTCGTAAACAGTGCCAATCGTGATCTCTCGATTCATCAAGCAATCAATCAATAAATCACACAATAATTCGCACATAGAATCAGGTAGATGTAATAAAATATTAATCGGTGAAGCATGCATTCACACTGCACACTAATGAAAGAAGAATACAAAATATGCAGTAGGAATGTTGTGTGAGCTACTCTTAGCATATTGAATGCAAGCATGATATAATCAGGAAATCTCTAAAAATAAGACCTTGGAATTGATTTCTTGGAACCTCGTTACATGTCTGCAAAGTCGTTATTTGGGAAAGTTGGGATGTGTATGTATGTATGTATGTATGTATGTGGGAGGTATATTGAAAAGCTAAGAAGATCAGATGGAGACAGTTACGCACACGGATCACAGATCCAGAATCGAAACGCACTCGAAATGCAAAATGCAATAGAAATGTCGTGAACATGTAGTAGTGAAATTCAGTAGTTGAGTAATGTAATCGGTAACCCAAATTCTGGTACAGTAGCACTCCAGATGTTGTGAAGTTACAGCACATGTTATTTATCGAGACGGGATGCAGGAAGCCGTTTGGTGGGATGGGTGAATCGGCGACTGGGCTGCTGGGCTGGGTGTTTGGAGGTGCCGACTTTGCTTGCTTGCCTGCCTTTCATGGGGACCTGGAAATGAAAAAGCGTTTCTGGGGTCTCGTTTTTTCTAGGGGTACCGTTTTCTCTAGGGGTACGGTGACATCGACGAAGATTGTTGTCCTTCGTTTCTTTCATGGGCGGGTCCCTTGTTTTGGGTCCAGAGTTGAAGAACTTAGGTTCGTGCTACGCTTGTTATACCTGGAGACATGACATGGTTGATCTGAATTGTCGGGATCGTGGCGAACACGTGATGTATCTCCAATTCGTGGTTCACATTGTACAGTATTTGAGGTCGTATTCTAGTTAAAGCTTTTGAGTCGTGAAATCATTTTCACATCGCGAGTTCTGTCGTGAATCTAGGCTTGGACGTATCAAATACTTCATACATCATTGTCCCCGTCGCACGCGTGGGTTTAATCAAGTACCTATGATGTTTTTCCAATCGCGCAAACAAACTAATTATCACGACATCTGCCTGAATAGGAAATTTCCGTGTCACACCATCTTCTGCGTCCAAAGATAAACCGTGAAGCGACCTCTGATACGCATCAATTGATGTGGTATTCGGTCTATCTGCTTCATTTTGATTGATGAAATTCTGAAGATGGTGATGTGTGGTTGGTTCCCCATCTCAAGTGAGGGGAAACCAGGTATTTGGCCGTCAAATGTTGTGGATTTGGTGTGCGAATATTGGGGGTTTGGAGGTGGATCTTATCAGCGATGGTTTTCTGTTGAATTTTTTCACTGTATAGTATTTTTGATGGCTGCTCTTTAAAGTCTTGAAATCCAGGAGAGTGATTTGCTGGAGTTTGTATTCGCAATAACTCAGTATCAAAATGGCAGCTTCAATTGATGATGAGAAGCATGTGACGTCTTCTCCTGTACAATCAAAAAGTGAAGCCGTGAATAGTTCATCATCAGCTGCTGCAGCTCATCTGGATGATAACTATGCTTTGTTTCAAGATGCTAGGGATATCGAGGTCGATCCTCAAGAAGCGAAGAGAGTGCTTCGAAAGATTGACATGCGGCTCATGCCCATTCTTTTCATCACGTATATGCTGCAATATCTAGACAAGAATTCTATCAACTTCTCAAGTGTGTATGGATTGCAAAAGGGTACCCATCTGAAAGGACAAGAGTATTCCTGGCTGAGGTGAGATCATCGATATGCATTGTTCCTTCATGATACTTTTCAGGCCATGCTAATAATGTATATAGCTCGATTTTCTACTTCGGCTATCTATTCTTTCAATTTCCATCAGGTTACTTCCTCCAACGCCTTCCTATTGGAAAATTTCTCTCTTTAACCACTATTGCCTGGGGAGTGATTCTCATCACAACTCCGGCATGTGTCTCCTTTGGCGGCATAGCAACCAATCGATTCCTCCTCGGCGCCGTCGAAGCAACCATAAACCCTGGTTTTGTCCTTTTAATGTCCATGTGGTACACGTCCGCCGAGCAACCTCTCCGTCTTGAAACCTACTACTGTACTAACGGCATCGCAACCATGTTTGGAGGTCTCATCGGCTACGCTGTTGGACACATTACCACCGGTCTCCCAAAATGGATGTACGTCTTCCTAATCTTCGGAGCCATTTCCATCTTCTGGGGCGTAATCTCCCTCATTTTCCTCCCGGATCTCCCTTCCACAGCCAAATTCCTCACGCCCCACGAATGTCTCATTGCCGTTTCCCGCGTAGCATCGAATCGTCAAGGCGTAAAGAACCATCATTTCCAGACCTATCAAGCATGGCAAACGGTCAAAGATCCAAAAACTTGGATCCTATTTGTCATGGCTGTCGGCGCACAAGTTCCCAACTCTGCTCTTACATCTTTTACATCTATCATTGTCGGAACCTTTGGTTTCGATACCCTCGGTACCCAGTACCTACAAATTCCAGGCGGAGCAGTGCAATTCCTCGCGTTGATGGCGGGTGGATACATATGCACGAAATTCCCTCGGAATTCAAGATGCATTACTATGATAGTCGCCAACACGATTTGTATTCTCGGTTCGGGATTGTTGGTTGGTCTTCCAAGTAGTAATAAATGGGGACGATTAGTAGCGCTTTGGTTATGCTATTTTCAGGGGTTAGGATTTAGTATGAGTCTCACGATGGTGAGTAGTAATATTGCAGGATATACGAAAAAACAGTTGACGGCCGCGGTGCTATTCACGGGATATTGCGTGGGGAATATAGTTGGACCGCAAACTTTTATTAAAAGTGAAGCTCGTGAGTGTGCCCTTTTTTCTTCTCCATTAATGTCCCTCTTCCATTCTTAGTTTCTGTCTCGTGAATAGTGGACTAACATGACTGAAGCCGGGTATCACTCAGCGTACATAGCAATGTTGGTGGGTTATTCGGTCAAGCTAGCAATGGTTGTTGTACTGTACATTTACATGTACTCAAGTAATAAGAAAAGAGATGCAGAGCAGGCGGCAAGAGGAGAAATAAGTGAAGAGGAAGAAAGAGAGGCTGTGGAGAAGGGTATGTTGGATATGACGGAGATTGATAATAGAGGATTTAGATATATTTTGTAGATACAAATATATTGGGGAGAATGAATAGATAAAGTCTCTTCGTACATCTTTATGGATTTGTGTGTGAACTACTTAGTAGGATCTAGTAGCTACTTTCAAGATTATTTAAAGCACATCGAATCAGTGCAAATACATTCTAGTAATACTCATAACCGGAGTCTAGATACGTCTTGGAGGTTAGCTTTTATAATAATAAGGAATAGTATTATTATAATGATAGTGGAAGATCTAGTCAGTTTAAGCTTGAGGGATAAATCGAATATATAGAATAAGAGTTGAATTGAAGTCAATTTAGAAGAGCTAGGCTGAGTTGAGATGAATTGCTTGCTTTTTCCTAGATTTTCTTTAAAGAATATTCTAGGTTTATATAGTTTATAATGAAATTCCAGTATATTCTATGCTTATAAATAAGATCGATTTAAATCGTATCTTATAGAATCATTTTAGATAATAAAAAGAAAGTACAACCAATCAATTTAGCGATATTTCCTGTATACTTCCATCTAGTTCCATTTCATTCTATTCCATTATAAATCAATTTGATAAGAGATACTATTATACAACTATATGATAATATGATTTTATAATATAAGATTATATTATATGTGTATTAGTCATCAAGATATCCCTTATTTAGTAAGATATTAATAAGTGATTTAGTGGACTTATTATGAATCCTCACAATACGTATCGGAAACTGAACCAAAATGCCCGCCCCGAATAATTGAACACGGTAAGAATCACAACTGACCTACCGGATTCTGTTGGTATCACCTCGGTGGTGATCATAACGTTTTCATAATAGTTTCAATGCATTGATAGATATTGTTTCTATCCTATTCTAGATTAAAAGCTACGAGAGCTATTTGCAATACGTTCGTGCGCTAGTGTACTCACGTATGTATATTCACTTGTATCGTAACAGATCCTGAGATTCACGAAACGTTTCTTGGCTACTCAATCGTTCTTTCCATCCCTTTCTTTGCCTTTGATACTGCTCTTACTCCTGCTGCTGGCCTCGCTGCCGCTTTTACTGATGCTATCTTCCATATTACCTCTCTCAAGATCTGGGGGTGAAGAATCCTTTGCCTGATCTCTGCGCCTTCTTTCTGAACTAGAAGTAGTTAGAGAGTTGAACCCTATAGTTCCGGCTTGCTTCAGTAGCGGATTAGACTCGGAGTTGACATTCGTCCTCGTCGTGTTATCGGCAGCCTGAGGCTGATGCCTATCTCCTCCATCTTGATTTGTGTGATTTGCTTTCCATCCAGTCAGGTACCCATTGATGATGTCAATCTCAGAGCAAATTTCCTCGATATCAAAATATTGCGCCATGATATAGGCTCCGCCGAAGAATACCAACCCAATGATGTACAGTGCGAATACAAATTTCGTGTTGTTAGGCTCTGCAGTCCCAAAACTACCCAAATACACCCCCAAAGCAATAACTAACATTTTGAGTGAGATTGAAAGAAGCAGTTGGGGTGCAGAGGCTATGATGACTGATGATACGCTCGGGATAAAGCAACGAGCTTTTATTTCTTCGTCGACTGACCAACCCCATCTTTTAGCACCCGGTTTCCTTGAACTTCCCCTGATCCATCGACGTATATCTTCCCCTGTGAGTAGACGAGTAAACCTACGCTGCAGGCAGCTGGCATAAAACACAGCTAGAATGGCAAATATCAAGCTCAGTACAAAAGACGTTTTTGTTAGACAATATGCCTGATTTGAAAGTTCCAGTGATAGCCCAGTCACGGCTATCTGAACAACAACAGCAGCCTACCCAGTGTTAGTATTAGAAATATTGTAGATAGAATTTGGGAGAGAGACAGCCACAGCAACCATGTTACATTCTGCGAGCGTTGAACTTTTGAATTCAATAGCCCTCGAGTTATCAGGTCTATCTTGTCCCTCTTTCAGCTCACCAAGGACTTTTGCCTGCATATACCAAGTAGTGCGGCTACCGAAAATAAACAGCGGAATGACAGAGGATCCATACAACTCGAATAATTGCCGGACTCTATTTATGTAGCGCAACATTATATGAAAGAGCGTCAAGATAAATCTCGTTGGCAAAAGACACAGTGCGATGAACAAAAATTTGAGAGCGGTGCGGATTACCTAGACCGCAATACTTCAAAACCAACTCAATGTGCCTATGGAAGTAGATCTTACTCAGAAATTGAATATCTTTGGTTTCTTGAATGAGGAAGGTAAAACCACTTAATGTAATTGGATCGATAGGGAGGGGCAAGACTTTCCCTACATATGATACCGGTATGCTTGATGTCCAAAGTATTCTCGCAAGCATTATCAAGTCAGTTTCAACAATGCTATCCTCTCTCTTCGCCATGTTTTGGCACAGGTCTGTATAGAAACCCGGCTAATTATCTCGGTATCATGTTTTGATTGCAATTGTTGGTTTGGCAAAACGGCAACCCTTATCACTTGACTTTCGATTTCCGAGAAGAGTACTATACAGAGTGCTATGATTATGAGCGGCATGCCGTGGCAGATTGAGGGATATTCATTTCGTTTGCTGAACTACGGGTCTGAGGACATTTAGACATTCGATTTGGATATCAATCAAATCAGTGTTGTTTGAGCGGAGCAATCAACTCATCCGGTTGACCATGCTTGTGATTTCAGCAATCTATCTTCAATGTTTGAATCGCACGTCTGAATAATAGTAAGAACTCAGATAAAATGCTGGTGTCCACCTTGAAAAGTTTGTATGATTAGCCCCATGCCTGCGCGTGAAATTGGCTCTTTTCTTGATCACACGTGAGCCGTGGCGTATCATCCGTTTTTCTGAGGTCAATTTGATTTTCGTATTGTTCCTGTTCCAACTAAGTCCCTATACAATCTTCTTATCCTAGTTCTTGCCAATGAATGTTCAGACGTTATTCATCCCCTCCATCTCATTCTACACGGCAGTAGAAATTTCCTCGATTCCTGTGCTAGAAATTGGCTTCAGAGTCCCATTCTGAAAGCACCAATAACGGTCAACATTTCATCGAGACAACAAATTAGGGTGACTAGCTATGTATTCGTTCATATACTCATCGATGATATCAGATGCGGAACCCTCATCTCTGCCATGGAACCACCCCGAAGTTACATATATACCACCAGAGAAGTACAGCCCAGTAAAGTATAATATGAAGACATTTCTCGAATCGGTAGCTGGTTCTGTAGAATCTAGCTCAAGAATCCAGAACTTACCTAGATATATCCCCAGACCGATGAGAAGTAGAGAAAGAGATCCAGAAAGCAACATCTGAGGAGCAGAAAGGGTGATGATGGATAGAGGGCTTGGGAGAAAACATTGCCTCTCAAAATCCCTCTTGAGATCACCAATATCCAAACCGTCCGGTGAGTAGTCGTCGGGCTCACAAGGATTAAGCTTGGACCAAACTGCCGTCGAAAAGATTGGGTTGGATCTTTGTTTTCTCCCTCGTATCCAATGACGAACATCTTTTGGTTTGATCAACCGACCGAGAATTCGTTGCTGAGTAACGGAATAGTATACCGATACCAAAGCGAAGGTTAGACTCATCATAAAACAAGACTTTGCTGTCCAATGAGTCTTGTTCGAAGAGTCCAACGACAATCCTGTAATAGCAATTTGGGCAACAATTGCAGCCTTTTCTTTTCGTCAGTACTCGGAAGACCTGGCGTCGGGCTCAGCTCACAGCTACGGCGATCATGGTACATTCATCGCATGCCATCTTTTGAATGCTAACGCGTCTTCGTCTTGTAATTCGCCAATGATTTGTGCCTGTAGTAGCCATACTGCACGACTTCCATACATCCTGAGAGATATGGCACCGATACCGTACCATCTCCATTGTTGAGCGGTTGGCAAAAGCCTCCTAATTGTGTCGAATGAAAGCATCGGATATATTCAAACATTGAAGTAGAAAAATCGTTTGTACTATGAATTTTGAATTGCAGGTTTATAGTTATAGATGTAGAAGTGGGCCGTCCAAGTGCTTGGTCTGTGTAAAACTTGGAGATTATCATTGCCGTGGCAATTTATATCATGTGGGGTTGAAGATCCCGTGTGATGTTGCACAACTCGAATAAAGTGACTGTGTACATATGCTTATTAAAATACATAGGGGAGAGATCTGACTGCAGATGTCAGCCTCAACGCTCTAAGGCTTACATACGCAGAATCAAGGATGATTATGACATAAACCTTTAACGCAGACAAGATCTCATTGGAAAGTGAATATATGTACTCCTTACCTTGAAATTTTCTTCCGCTTAAACAATAACTCAAGTTTGTGACATACTAATCTCGTAAAACTTCCCTCTCCGGTATATTGAAACTCAGAACATCATGTGTTGATCTTGCTCCTAGCCCCTTATTTATGTTTCGCTTCGCTCACAGCCTTCAACCTAACCAATTTAAGCCATTGGTTTCGACTAACTCGAGTGGAGACGATAACTTGAGAGTATACTCCAGCAAGATTGATTGATTGATTGATTTCATTTACGTCCACCTTCAGTCTAAGACTATATAGGACGGCTAGGCCTCTAGAGGCTCTAGCGGATAACTTTTATTCTACAAAAATGGATATATACGATTTAGGGAAGTGAAAACAAATGCTGGGGAACAGTGCCCGCTCATTATATGCATTGTATATAATAAGAAAATTGTGAAAATCAAGAAATTGTAAGGAAATCAAAGCCCTCTCTTATTTCCCTAATTACTTCTTCTTCATTCTCTTCTCCTTTCTCCTCTTCTACTACTATTCCTTCCTCTATCTTGTCTTGTATGAGAGCCCTGACCAGGTGCCATGCTCTTGTAGCGATTTTGATGATATTGATGAATTTAATGGCTAATTCAATACCTACTTTTGTATGGAATAGGAACTGTATAGTGATCTTAGATAGTAATATATTCTTGAATATTTCTTTTCTCTCTATTTTGTATATAGAACAACTAATAAGAAGGTATTGTGAAGCCTCAATATTACTATATATACATTTGTTATCAGAAAGTTTGAATCGATATAAATAAGATTTGATGTATTTATAACCTAATTTAAGTTGAAAATATGTGTTAGCAGTGTTTCACTTGGTTTCACTTGATGTGACACTTTGCCTTAGAAGAACTGCGAGAGCAGGGTACAATTTATCCTTAGAATCTATAACTATAGAATCGGGAGCAAAGCGCTTATAGAGTGCTTCTATATACTAGCTATATATATGTGATTGTGTATATACACAAACGCACATATAAGCAATTGCAATTGCAATTAGATATGATTTATAACACTATCCCCCCTTTCAAAAAAGCTTGTCCTTAAGCTTTATTTTCAATTGTATTATTGCAAATATTAAGATGAAGTCTTTGATTTCTGAAGTTTATTAACAATATCACTAAGTATTCTTTAAATGCGAATCCGATATCCTATCTCTTTCCCAATCATATAATTACAAGATTATATTTAAAGAAAAAGATGAAAAAGCTTTTAAATACAATCCCCTATATAAGATATCATTTAAACAACTTGAGGTTATTAAAGAATATATTATAAAGAATCTTGCCAAAGGATTTATAGAATCCAGCTAAGTATTGTTCGCAGTATCAATTCTCTTTATAAGAAAGCTGAATAAAAGCTTAAGGTTTTATATAGACTTCCGATTATTCAATTTTTTAATATATAAAGATAGATATTCTTTATCTCTCATTAATAAGATATTTGTATAACTCGTTAATACAAAGATATATATCAAATTAGATATTCGATAAGCATTCCATCATATTCACATAAATCCAGCTTCCGAAAAATACACTACCTTCCATACTCGATATAGTTCCTATAAATATAAAGTTTTACCTTTTGAACTAACAAATGGCCCTGCGATTTACTAATAATATATAAACAATATCCTATTTGACTATTTAAATGATTTTTATATTGCTTACCTCAATAATATTTTTATATATTTTGAAAACGAAAATAAATATAAGGAATACATCAAGTACATCCTCGAACGACTTAAGTCCACTAACCTTCAAGCAGATCTCAAAAAGTATGAATTCAATATTAAATATATAAAGTATTTAGATTTTATTATCTCTATAAATGACATACAAATCGATTCAGAAAAGATTAAAGTGATTATTATTTGGACTTATTCTACTACCATAAAGGATATTCAATCATTCTTAGATTTTTATAACTTTTATTACCGATTTATTAAGGATTACGGTATAATAGCAAAACCTCTTTATAAACTTACAAAAGCAAATATCAAATTCCATTTTAACGAAATCTATTAAATTATATTTGATATACTCAAAGATAAACTTATTCCATTCCTTTCCTATAGTATTACAATTATACACTACTCTATATACTGGAAACCGATATATCTGATGGTGTAGTCGCTAGTGTGCTATTTTAGAAGCACAATAATGAATAATTACTAATTGCCTACTTTTCGAAAACAATGATTGCCGCTAAGCTGAATTATAAAGTTTATAATAAAGAAATGCTTGTGATTATCAAATCCCTAGGTTATTAGAAAGCCAAACTTATTGAATTTCTATATTAGATTAAAGTGTATACTAATTATAAAGTGCTCGAGTACTTTATATTAATTAAATAGCTGAATATTTAATAAGTATACTAAACAAAACTATTTACTAATTATAATTTTATTATCATATACTGTATTGAAAAGAACAATCCACTTATAAATACGCTTACACGCTACATTAATGAATTGGATCAATAGAATAGTATTAAGAAAAAGAATTGTTTTTAGTAGTTTATAAAAGATAATTAGGTGAATATAAAGATCATACACGAATCTCTACAGCAAGACCCAAATGTAATTGCAAATATCGATATATATATAATTATACTGCATGTGTATTATTACTTTCAGTATTTATTATATATCGAAGTCATTATATCATTACCTTACAAGCTCTCTACAAAATCATCGCATCCAACACATCAGCGAGCTTAGATCGTACTAAGCCGCACCTTCCGACTACGTAAGCTCTAGTATCAGATACAGCTATAGTCATCGCCAACGGCGTGAGCGCTATGGCGACTACCCCTACGAGGGCGCCAATCGCGACCGATCCCCGGTTCACTCGCAACCGATCACCACCCTTACCCTTACCATTCAACTACAGCAGTACAAGCGCTTATAGCGCAAAAGCTGTGAGAGCCACTACATCAAGCCTACAAGCAACGAAAAAATCCTCTATTGCGGTACAACTTAATGCTCTCGACAAACAAACGCAACTCAAATATAAGATCTACGAAGTGTTCGAAATAATGTTTTATTAATTCGAAGCCAATAATATATTAGAGAAAGCGGTTTTCAGTAAAGAAGTATGCAATATAGTAATAAACAATATCAAAGCTAGATTATTATAAAGTATGATATAATTTATAGCTGGAAATAGGAACAGTAACAATCCAAATCGCAACCTATACGGACATTACAAAAACCCCGAAAAACTCGAGCGTATCTACGAATGCGAATGTGTATATGCAAGGGCAGGCTAACAAGTGGAAATCGGTCAAACCCTGAAAAACCAAAGTGGATATCTTGTTTATTAGCAGTAGGAATTGCTGTACCGACAGTAAGCCACCTGAGCGCCTATATATTAAAAAAGGCGATCAATAAAGCTATCCCTAATCTGAAAGTAATCGATATAACAGCTATTACCCCTACAGCTATTGGTTAAGCAATACACACTGCCAGTAGCGCTATACACAATAAACTCCTCGAAGCCAAGAATGCAAAAAAGATCAAGAAGATCCTGAACTATAATAGTCTAGAACAATCTATAATCTGGTACTGCTACGTGCTAAAGGGGATCCTAATTTTTCTTGGTAGCCTAAATAGAGATAGAATACTTATCACTAAAGAAATAATAGTTAAGGAAATATTAATACAAATAGATATTCCTCTAATCGATTATCGAATTACTATTCAAACAGCCGATTTCTATGAGTAGACCTGGATTGTTAGTTTATCGAGAGAAGTCTCTTTCTTTAGGTTCTTTGATAGCTCTAAACAAGCTTGGTATATTAAGCTAAAGTAGTGTATCACTCACTATAATTCAGAATACTAGGGTTTTTATAACCCAACAATATACAAAAGCGCCCCAAAATACAATAATTACAATGTTCTATAAACAAATCACAATAGCCTATTTAAGCCTGAGTGTAAGATTAAGATTGAATATACAAACTGTGCAGGACTGTTTCAGGCCGGGTATAACGACTATCCCGTGATATTGTGCCGAGTCAATGGGAAAGTCATATGTCTTACAAAATCCGAAGTTTATGAGATTAAGAAATATAGTCGAAAACTCGTTTAATTGCTGAAGTATTAGTTAACAAAACATTTGCTTTAACTGTAATAGCTTCTCAAAGTGTTGCAATAGAGATCCCCCCCCCGATCCACGGGGAATATATTACTGTATATAAAAATCTGAGCAGCTTTCAATATATTCTCAGAATACTTCCCCAACTAACAGCTTGCCTAAGGACCTCTATTGCTCTAAAAGGAAATGCCTAAATGAGAGTAATCTGAATAAGAAGATACTCTTCAACACTACGTTATCGCAATATATCGATATGGATATCGATATCGACCTAAATAAATAGCCATTCCTCTCGGCACTGCGGCACCAGCCGTTAGATAGCTGCAGCCTGATTCATATAGATCGGCTGGGCAAACATACAGAAGAAAACAGAAGTGTATATTGTGATACTGTAAATAGTATACGAATAAGACTTGGAGA